AGTTATGTGGGGGGGGGGGGGGGGGGGGGGGGAATCTTGGGAGCTTATTTTATTAAAAATCCTGAACATCATTAGGATGGGATATTTTTGTAGGTGGATTGGGAAATTGTCCACGTAAGTGCTTAATGGAGTATGTCTCAAACTATATTGATTCCCTTATGATATATCAGGTCACGCAAACCTTTTAGTGAGCCGTCAATGAAATTACCATTACTGCTGATTATAAGGATAAAAACATGAAACAATTTCCAAATATGTTTTATAAAGTTATTCTTATAGTGTTACTGTCTTTGGGCTCAATTCCTGTTAAAATGAATATGCAACTGGGTTTTTACCTTAAATTTTTTTATTAAGTGTTTTCTTTTCTCATTGTGATATTACTTTACTGTTGGATGATGGTGATTAAAAAGATAGAGTACATTTTTGCAGTTTATCCATAATGTAAAATAGAGTAAATTATGAAGTCTTAAAGCCCAATCTAATTAATAGTATTTAACAAATTGTCTTAGTCATATTTGTTTATTCAAAAACATAAATGTTTTTTTCTGAATATAAGTCCATTCTTTTGTTTCTGGTTGTTGCTGAAGGCTGGAATACAGTACATGACTTTTGAACAGATTTTAGCCCCAGTCTGGAGGAGTTGACGAAAGTCAGAGTCAGTCTGCAGATTTTGGCAGTCAGAGTTGTCAGATTTCACAGAAAATCAATTATTATTTTTTTTGTTTTTTGTTTAGTTGCAGACTGAAGTTGCATCCCTATTGATGCGTGTACACTCCAGTCTAGTGTATGAGTTTCTTTATTTTCTTTATGAGGTTATTTTGTCATCCATCAAGTCTAATCGCTCTTCTCCTTCACTTGTGTAATTGAACCTGTGGCCACTGAGTGTATAATGTCTCTTACATTTGTACCTATAGCTAAATAGGTACTTTATTTAGGTATTTAAAATACACTTTTATTTTTGGTGTGAACCCATTAATTGCACTATACTAAACAAATGGCATAGGATAGTGCACAAGTATGCAAATTAGGATGCACTTTTGAGATTCCATCCAGTAGGGATGTGTGATTGATCAAATTTTATTTAGATTTTGACTTCCAGCAATTATTATAATTGAGGTAAAACAATTACTGTGCTGCATTTCATTTCTCACCCCTTTCGTTCCTTCACAGCAGTGTGCTTTTGTTCTTATCTAAAAGCCTCGACTTAATGTTCAAATCAGTCAGCATGATTGCAGTCTACTATTGCTAAACTGCAAGACATGCTTGATACACAGATCCTCAGATGTTCAGTGTATAATGGCCAGCAAATGTATGAGGCCTAGTGTTTTATAATCTTTTCAGAATAACTTAACAGCATTGCCTCCTTACAGCACGTCTACCTTTCAAAAGGCTCAACCCAGAAACCAAGGAATGCAGTGAGCCCAAAAGAACCAAAGGTCCTGTTGTCCCCAAGTGTTCTGAACCCAGTGCGTCGGATGGAGAAAATGATGGGGACAGTTCCTCCACCCCGCTGCACCGTGGCCCAGCTCTGGTAAATGGCCGTGGACCACTTGATTGCTTCATGAGCAGGCCGAAGCATTCCCCGGTCTGCTGTGGCCCTGAAACAATAGACCTTACCGAAGACTCAAATGATGCTGTCAAACAGCAGCCTGCACCTCCAATTGCTGCCACCTGCCCCCTTAGCGAAGAAACAACGAAGGATGCAGAACATGCCACAAAATCTTGTGCTGCCACCTGCCCCCTTAGCGAAGAAACATCGAAGAATGCAGAACATGCCACAAAATCTACAGAACCAACCACCCCACTGACAAAAAAAGAGACTGAGAAGGACGAAGATGCCCTCCCACTGCTGGACATTTCTCAAGAGTCTGACACTGAGGAAGAAGAGCAGCAGGAGACTGAAGTCAGTCACGGGAATGAGTCTGTGCTGTCGACCGAGTCTACCAGCTCTCTCTCAGTGGTAGAGAGCTCACCAGAGCCCAGCAAGAGCTCTCCCACCACCCCTGCCTCTGTGAGTAGACATGAATCAATTGATCTCTTTTTTTTTTTGCTTAAGTTAAACCTGTTGATCAGTCTCTTTCCTTTCTGCAGACGTCACGGATAAACGCAGCTAGTAAAATGAAGAGACGATCCCTTAAGGTAAAATCCCATGTTTTTTATCACATTTAGAACCCAGCATTTTTAGTGTAATGTTAATCTGAGCATATGAGATTCAGGTTTGGGTGCATGAGCCCAAAGCTGAAATCTTAGTAGCTAGTAGTACTGTGTTCGATACATCGATACGACGATGTATCGTCTAGAGTAAATTATGAAGTCTTAAAGCCCAATCTAATTAATAGTATTTAACAAATTGTCTTAGTCATATTTGTTTATTCAAAAACATAAATGTTTTTTTCTGAATATAAGTCCATTCTTTTGTTTCTGGTTGTTGCTGAAGGCTGGAATACAGTACATGACTTTTGAACAGATTTTAGCCCCAGTCTGGAGGAGTTGACGAAAGTCAGAGTCAGTCTGCAGATTTTGGCAGTCAGAGTTGTCAGATTTCACAGAAAATCAATTATTATTTTTTTTGTTTTTTGTTTAGTTGCAGACTGAAGTTGCATCCCTATTGATGCGTGTACACTCCAGTCTAGTGTATGAGTTTCTTTATTTTCTTTATGAGGTTATTTTGTCATCCATCAAGTCTAATCGCTCTTCTCCTTCACTTGTGTAATTGAACCTGTGGCCACTGAGTGTATAATGTCTCTTACATTTGTACCTATAGCTAAATAGGTACTTTATTTAGGTATTTAAAATACACTTTTATTTTTGGTGTGAACCCATTAATTGCACTATACTAAACAAATGGCATAGGATAGTGCACAAGTATGCAAATTAGGATGCACTTTTGAGATTCCATCCAGTAGGGATGTGTGATTGATCAAATTTTATTTAGATTTTGACTTCCAGCAATTATTATAATTGAGGTAAAACAATTACTGTGCTGCATTTCATTTCTCACCCCTTTCGTTCCTTCACAGCAGTGTGCTTTTGTTCTTATCTAAAAGCCTCGACTTAATGTTCAAATCAGTCAGCATGATTGCAGTCTACTATTGCTAAACTGCAAGACATGCTTGATACACAGATCCTCAGATGTTCAGTGTATAATGGCCAGCAAATGTATGAGGCCTAGTGTTTTATAATCTTTTCAGAATAACTTAACAGCATTGCCTCCTTACAGCACGTCTACCTTTCAAAAGGCTCAACCCAGAAACCAAGGAATGCAGTGAGCCCAAAAGAACCAAAGGTCCTGTTGTCCCCAAGTGTTCTGAACCCAGTGCGTCGGATGGAGAAAATGATGGGGACAGTTCCTCCACCCCGCTGCACCGTGGCCCAGCTCTGGTAAATGGCCGTGGACCACTTGATTGCTTCATGAGCAGGCCGAAGCATTCCCCGGTCTGCTGTGGCCCTGAAACAATAGACCTTACCGAAGACTCAAATGATGCTGTCAAACAGCAGCCTGCACCTCCAATTGCTGCCACCTGCCCCCTTAGCGAAGAAACAACGAAGGATGCAGAACATGCCACAAAATCTTGTGCTGCCACCTGCCCCCTTAGCGAAGAAACATCGAAGAATGCAGAACATGCCACAAAATCTACAGCCCCACTGACCCCACTGACAAAAAAAGAGACTGAGAAGGACGAAGATGCCCTCCCACTGCTGGACATTTCTGACACTGAGGACACTGAGGAAGAAGAGCAGCAGGAGACTGAAGTCAGTCACGGGAATGAGTCTGTGCTGTCGACCGAGTCTACCAGCTCTCTCTCAGTGGTAGAGAGCTCACCAGAGCCCAGCAAGAGCTCTCCCACCACCCCTGCCTCTGTGAGTAGACATGAATCAATTGATCTCTTTTTTTTTTTGCTTAAGTTAAACCTGTTGATCAGTCTCTTTCCTTTCTGCAGACGTCACGGATAAACGCAGCTAGTAAAATGAAGAGACGATCCCTTAAGGTAAAATCCCATGTTTTTTATCACATTTAGAACCCAGCATTTTTAGTGTAATGTTAATCTGAGCATATGAGATTCAGGTTTGGGTGCATGAGCCCAAAGCTGAAATCTTAGTAGCTAGTAGTACTGTGTTCGATACATCGATACGACGATGTATCGTCACAGAGATTTGACGATATGAGTATCGATACAGCTGTCCCTGTATCGATATTGAGGCACGTGTGCAGCAGTGGACCGCGCTTAATTTAAATACAAGAACAACGTTTAAAAGTGAGTAGAAAAGTGCGAGGTTTCTAAAAAATAATGAATAGCGCATAATATATAGGCTACAACAAGGTTTAATCTTGCCGCAGAGGAACACAACCGGGGTTGCCTGATATGAAGAGACTTAATCCCCGAAACAGAGCTTTACACTTGGCACAATATGGAAATATCTGCTAAGTGTGCTACTTATCTTTGTCAACCTGGCAACCATGTGCACGCGCTCTCTCTCCACTGTGGATAAACGCGCTTGCTTTCTGAAAACACTGGTAAGCTTGCAGTTTAGCGATCTCCACTTCAAGTCTATTCTCAGAAAAGTGTAATTCATCAAGTGTTAATTTATGAGAGAGAGAGAGAGGCTGTGCATGTATGAATTACCACCGTTTCTCTATTAACATTGAATCTGTGGCTTTAATCCCTGTAGAAACAATGATGTTACCAGCTCCTTGTTGAGAATGATAATGTAGTTCTTGAGCGATTAAGCTATTTAGTTGATAAAACTGCGGGGCAGCGCTAAAAAGTTTGTTCCTGAATGTCTCGAGTGCGGCCGCAACGTGATCTGTGTGAGTGACTGAGCGTGGGTGTGAAGACAGCGCATTAGTTTAGAACTCTTTTAATTTTAATTCTTTAAACGTAGAGAGTTCGTTCATTTGTGCAATGATAACCTACCAGCAATGTAAATATGATTTTTTTAATATTAGAATAAGTACATTACAATATACATTTATTAGAACGAGTACATTATTATTTATGGGCTTAAAAACAAGATGCAAACAATCAGAATATTGTACCTGGCCAATGTAAACATGAAACATATGCCATTACCTATATTGTACTGTGGTACAGTTATGGAGGCCCTTGTACCTGCTCTGCCAATAGTTAGAAATGGCACTATAGTGTGCAATGTTTAATAAACAGCTGTTTTTCTAAATTCTGCTGAGGTGAAATTCAGTGCAGTCCTGTATCGTGATACGTATCGTGTCGTGGCCTCTGTATCGTGATTCGTATCGTGACATTGCTGGTGATACACAGCCCTAGTAGCTAGTGTGGGTTATTTCTCCTCCAGAAGTCCCAAACAAGTTTGATCACAATGTGGATGTTTGCACTTTAAGGGTTCAAGAAGGAATGATTGTTTACTTTTAAAGTCTTGTCACTGTGGAATTCTGCACTCCATTTGAATAGCTCTTTATTGTCTTATTGTCCCTCAGAGTGTCCAAGAGCAGGAGGAGAAGCAGCGACAAAAGGAAGAGAAAGAACGCCAGAAAGAAGAGGCCAAAGCTGCCAAGGAAATGAAGAAAGAGGAGGCCCGCAAGCTAAAGGAAGAGAAGGAGAGGGAGAAAAAAGAAAAGAAGGAGAAGGATGAAAAGGAGCGACGAGAAAAAAAGGAGAGGGAGGAGAAGGAAAAGGCAGAGAAACTAAGAGCTAAAGAAGAGCAGCGGCAAATTAAAATTGAGTGAGTGTGTCAGTAAAGTATCACAATAATAGTTGTACTGATTTTTTTCTTAGTTTTATGAAGGATGCGAGTATTAAAATCTGTTGTAAATGCTATTTAGGGCCAAACTGGAAGAGAAAAGAAAGAAAGAGGAGGAAAAACGGTTGAAGGAAGAGAAAGATGTGAGTGGTTTTATCAATCTTTATTCCTGAGATCTTCAAATTTGGATGTTATTGTTTTGCGAACTGTTCAGGTCCTCATTTGAGTTTGTCCATCTGTTTAGCGAATCAAAGCTGAGAAGGCTGAGATTACACGCTTTCTACAGAAGCCCAAGACCCAGTTGGCACCAAAGGTAAGAGTCACATTATTCACTGTGGAATAAAGACTTGTGTCAAACTACTTGTGTGAAACATTTACAAATGTTAAATAAGATATTCATTTGAGAATGAGTCCTTGTTGGACAAACAGATAAGATAAAAATCTAAAAGCTAGAAATCTTTCCCAATGTGATGGCTGTCATGCTTTGTTTACGCTGTGTTTTCTTTTTCTAACTTTTTTTGATGTTTTGTTGTGTTTCAGACTCTGGCGTCTGCCTGTGGAAAATTTGCTCCTTTTGAGATTAAAGCTAACATGTCTCTGGCACCACTGACTCGAGTACAATGTGAAGACTCAGTTCTAGAGGAGCTGGACCATTATCTTGCCCAACCTGACAGCACTCTAAATGGACTGAAGGACTGGACAAGGCACAAACCTCGCCGTTCAGGTCCAACCCAGCCCAGTCACAGTGCTGTAAGGTAAAGCCATATTAAACCTGTTGCTGAGATACTCATGAACTTATAAATGTGCGGAACACCAGCTGCTGTTTATATGAGAGTGATGTGAAAGGCTTATTCTTTGTTTGTTTCGTCTGTTCTCTGTTATTAGAGATTGTGTGGTCATAACTGACAGCCAAAAGGCAGATGGCGTCCCAGACCGCCACCGTTATGGCCGCATGAAACTCCTGCAATTCCATGACAACTATCGTCCAGCTTACTGGGGGACCTGGTGTAAAAAGAGCACTCGCATCTCTCCACGCTGCCCACTGAGACAACACAAGGTAAAAACACAAGAATGTGTAAATTATATCAGTGCTTCCCACACATAGACTTCACCTGGGCGTGCCCCCCAAGTATATTTGGTAACACATTTTTGCTTTTCATTATTTTATACTCTTATACTTTTTTTTTTTTTTTTATCCGCCCGAGATGATGAAACCATCCGCAATCGATTTAGAGGCCATTCACATGTCGTGTCTAAAAGCTCATGGAAAACGCCAGCCGTGCCACTTCTCTTTTCAAAAGCGCTCGGGAGCTCGCGCTCCAGTGATATGCCGTTGCTAATCAATCATGAGCCGCGTTATCCATGAAGATGAAGAAGATTCAGCCAAGGATAAATGGATTTCCATCCCTTGCATTAACTATACTACTAGATATGTTTATGTACAGCTATGATCAGCTGTTTGTCCATCTTGGCTGAGCTTTCGATCTCTCTTTGAGTGTGCTTGTCACACGTCTACATTTAAAATAACGAACTTGAGCATGCAAAAGACGTGACATGAAGAGCCTCCATGTTTCATAACTGCTCGTTCGGTGTGTGCAAGAACTAGGGCTGTGCGATACTGAAGAAAAATGCGATATGCGATACCTTGTTAAATAATGCGATCTTCTATATGTGATATGATATTAACTTAAGTGTGTAAAAACAATTAAAATTATATTTAAAAATATTTAAAAATGAAAATTATATAACCAATATGTTTCACATTCTTTCTTAAGCCCTATTCGCACGGGATTAGTATTATCTGGGGACCTACAAATGACTGGAGGTCACCAGGTAATACTAATCCCGTGCGAATAGGGCTTTAGAAAAGAAAGCATCACTACAACTTCTGAAAGTGACCAGCAGTGTTTTAGTATTGCATAAAAAGTATTGTCACAAATCAGAAAATGTAATTTTAACATCAATGTGAACAAACAAACAAAAAAATGAATGCCACTTGCTTTCCAGTTATTACTTAAAGTACACTTTAAGTACTTCTTCATATACCACAGCAAAAACTATAGCCTAAGAAAGTTCAAACATGATTAAATGCAAGTGAACAGTCAGGAAAAAAAAAAAAAGAACAAATACACAAATTACAAGCATAGATAAAATAAACAGCAGGGTTTCTGTGGGTCTTAAAGGCCTTAAAAAGTCTTAAATTATATAAGAAAGTCTTAATTATGATTTCAAGATGTCTTAAATTTGGGGATGGAAAGACCAGAATTGCAATATGCTGAATGTGACGATTAAACTTCAGAAGGCTATGATTTCATGAAATAAACATGAGCGCTGCAGGTTCAAAGTCCGGTGCTGTGCTGCTTTGTGTTCTGCCAAAGAGTTCAGACAAATGCAAAAATCGACCCATGTTTTTACCCTGCAAACACAGAGCTTTAAATGTGAACTGGTGGATCGATAAGAAGACAATGCGTTATAAAAATCTAAACATAATAGGGGTGTGCGGTATGTATGGTCTGCAATAATATCGTAGTTGTTTTTTTAACGATGTGCGATTTGATATTATCGTGTATATCGCGAAAAGCAAACAAAACCCCTACAGAGTGCACGCATACATCAGGTGATGAAGTCTAGCAGGTTAGACTAGTGCGCCAATACGTCATAAATAGAACTCAGCAGCAGTTTTCTGTCGGGGATTTGTCGTGTCGTGCTGCGCCGCATCCAGTGTAGACCATATATGTATATATATCTATGGCGTAGACAGCACTGATTACAATGAGTTTTATAGTATTTTGTCGCGCCGCGCCACTCGCGTCCAGTGTAGACATGGTGTAACATTGGTTTTGCTTTGTTTCACAGAACTAATCGTTGCCTGGGTTGTGTATGTATGTGTGGGGCGGAGCTATCAAAATAGGGCCGAGACCCTTTTGGGGTAGGGGCGTGTTTGTTTTGGTGATTTCAAATGTCAACACTGGCTACCAGAAATCGCTTACCCCACCTTTAAAGGTAAAAATGCCCATAAAACTTGTTGGAAATGATTAATTTCTATCACTGCTGTGAACTGACCACACAGAATATGAAGAGTATAAAAAAATTCAGGAGTCAGCTGTCAGCACAATTAGACATAAGATATCGGCACAATAACACATTCAGCAAAATATTGTCTAATTATCGTTATCGATAAAATCCCTGTAAATTATCGAGATATCATTTTTTTTGTCAATATCGCACACCCCTAATTTATGTTATTTAATTGATATAATAATTTATTGTTTAAATTAATATAGTAATTAATACTTTTGACTCATCCATTTTCTTAAAAATGGTTTTAAAGGCTGAAATGTAAAGTTTATCATTTTATACAACTTTTTGTTTTTGTGAAATCTTTTATCTGAACTGTAAATTATGCTTTTTACAGTAATTTTACAGTTTAATATGGTACTATAGACATTGCCCTACCCCGCTCATATGGTATTAATTTTATTTGTGCAGGTCTTAAAAAGGTCTTAAATTTGAGCTTAAAAATCCTGTAGAAACCCGGAAACAGTAGTATTCAGGTACAGAAATGTAATAAAGTGTAAAATTGAAGATTTATTAAAATGATTCAAAACTTATTATTAAAATGATTCAGATATTGCATGCAGTTGAGATATGCATATCGCGATGTTTACATTTGCAATATTTCGACAATTTCTATATATCGTGCAGCCCCCCTAGCAAGACCTGTTTATTCCCACTGACAATCCCACATGCGCGGTGGATATTTCACAGACAAAGAGCAGGTGTGTGTGTGTGTGTGTGTGTGCACGTACGTTTGTGTGATCCTGTTTGTTCCACATTGCATTTATAAGAGCAGTTAACCTCATCCAAAAAAACTAATGGATCTCTATGGGCCTCTGCTGCATGTGTATGGTAATTACTAATGCTGTATTTCCTACAGATTTTTCTGTAGCCAGCAGATGGCAGATTTCTGCCCCTAACACCTAGATCAGGGGTGTCCAACCCTGCTCCTGGAGAGCTACTGTCCTGCAGACTTTAGTTCCAACCCTGCTCCAGCACACCTGTCTGTAATTATCAAGCAACCCTGAACACCTTGATTAGCTGGTTCAGGTGTGTTTGATTGGGGTTAGAGCTGAAATCTGCAGGATGGTAGCTCTCCAGGAGCAGGGTTGGACACCCCTGACCTAGATCAATATCCAGAAACAAATTAAATATTTAATTTTGGTCATCATTAAAGTGTTTTTTTTCCCATAAACATTTAATATTTCATATAAACTAATGGTGTAGTTGAGAAATTTTGTGGTAAATGGTTAAAAGGTACTTCATATCTCCCTAAACACAGCATAATCTGTATCAAAATTAATTTCAATAAATACAAATATTAAGTCACACATTATTTGTTGTTTGTCACATGTAGTAGACCATTTTTGTGCCATGGGTAATAGGAGGATTTTCACTCAGCTACCACCGCAAGTATATTTCAAGCCTGTGGAAAGAACTGGAAATGCAGCATCAGACCCACCTTAAACTTTACTGTTGTCATGGCAACATTATTGTGATTGTGATTACAGTCTAAATACACTTGTGTTGTGAAGTCATTTCTCAATAGCACCAAGGAAAATTTTATTTCTTATAAGATATACATGATACAATCTGTGGCTGTATGTGTCTTTGTTTACTTAGGAAAAGTTTGGATGAGATCCGAGCAGGACAATGGCTTGGCAGTTTTTCAGCTTGCAAAGAAGTTCATTGGTCACTGTCGAGGGCCTGAGAGTCCAGTTCACTAACTGCTTCCTCTGATTTCAAGCAATTCAGAAATAAACCCAACAATGCCCCAACTCCCTCTGATTCTATAGCAACTCTATGTTTGAAGTTTATTAATTGGCTAGTGAGATGACCGATTAAGATAATTTTACATGTTCATAATGAGTAACCTATGGTTTTGACCACTTAAAAATCACTAATTTCTATCAAATAAAAAAAATGAAACTTCAAAATTAAAAATGTCAAATACATTAAACTTTGCCAGAATGGAAAACGGTAGAAAATTGTGCAGAAATAAACCAAAGGATAATTTGCAGCTACTGATAAACGTGTTTCTCATAATTTATAGAAGTTATTCTTAGTAGAGGTTGTTTCACTATAGCTGGTAAATTGACAATTGACAATCACAATTGACAATTTAAAATCGAAGGTGTAATTGCAAGGTAAAATTATCAAAGCCTTTTTGTCATTTTTGACACGCCATTTTATCTCATAATTTCAACTTTTTATATCATTACTTTGTCAGTTTTTATTTTATCTCGTTCTGACAAAATGTAACTAAATTGTTGCCCTACTTTTTATATAAAGTTGGATATATTTAAGTATGTATATCCATGTACATGTGGTATTCTCATGTTGGGAGATTTATACTAGACAACCTCATCTGCTCGATTGCATGATATAGTTGCAAAATGTAAATTATATTACCCAACTCTAATCTGCTAAATGCAACTATAAGGCATTGAAGGTATTAGGATTATAAACATTAACATAGTGGTTTTCTCTGAAGCTGCTTTGAAATTTATAATTATGACTTTATTATTTACCAAAGCATGATTTTTCTTCTTATGTGGTGGAAATGGGCTTCCATAGCAACCTGAAGTTTTTGTCTTATCAGGGCCTGCTGGATTATGAGGTGGACAGTGATGAAGAGTGGGAGGAAGAGGAGCCAGGAGAGTCTCTGTCACACAGTGAGGGGGTGAGCAATATGACGTCACTATTTCTGTAGTGACAAATTAGCCATTGTTGTCTGCATGTTTGAATTTGGGGGTGACTTTAATCTGGCTTTTCCTTCCAGGATGATGACGATGAAGGAGGAGATGATGACGACGATGATGATGGGTTCTTTGTGCCCCACGGTTATCTGTCAGAAGGGGAAGGAGCACTAGAGGAAGACGAGGTATTTTAAACATCCCCCTTCTTCAGTCGCCTCATTAAATCACGTCATGATGCTAACAGGCTGCTCTTGCAGGAGGGTGGAGATCCGGAGAAACAGAAGGTGCGTCAGAGGATGAAGGCTCGTGAATGGGAGAATGAGTTGATGTCTAAAGGGAAGGTGAAGGTGTTGGAATCGGTGGTGCGTGGCTGCCTGTGGGAGGGGGAAGAACCTGGGCTGTACCTCCTGCAACCGTATGCTATCTGCATTCTTGAGCCTTTACCCAGAGATGAGCCCTGTATCCCTGAACAGGGCCTCTCACGCCAACAGAGGAATGAGAAATGTGAGTACAGCATGTGTGCTTGACTGTTATATGCTTGGTAGATTATAGATATAGTTAGAAGCTAAAGATTTCTCATCTGCAGTCCATGTTGCTTGACGAAATGCTATTGTTAATGAGCCTCTACAAACAGTGTTCAAGTGCGAGATCATGCAGAGATGGTATTTGCATTGCGATGAAGTACACACACTGTATTAAAGGCTGTTTTCAGCCTATTTACACTATGAGTGGTGCAGCAAAACCGTGTGAATCACCAGTGAAATTTCCAATAGGGTCTAGCTGCAGATCTCTGACTTCTCAGACACCTGCATATTTAATTGAATCTCTCAACATTTTACAAAAGTAGCCAGGTGGTGAAGACAAGAAAAAAGAAACAAAATTACAGTGTCACTTAGCTGCCTGCACTCTCTGCTACCTGCGACATCACTTGCAATCTACACAGATCGTGCCAAGACACTGGATGTTAAACGATTAAAACTAATTTGGTACTGTAACGTACAGGGTCCTGCAAGTCACCTGTAGGAGAAAAAGACAAGACCCGCTAATCCGTGGCCACAGAACAGCAGAATATGAACACAATGCGCAAAGTCTCTCGTTAAGCGTTTTCCTCCTTTAGAAAACCATAAATACTTAATATGGCTTAATGTATTCAGATAGTGCTATTAAAAATCAAATTCAATATACAGTTTATTAATATAATGTATACTACAAGGCAAGCGGATGGCCAGTATATGATAAAGATGATAAAGACCAAATTCAGTATAAGTCTCATTGCTGACGCAAACCATATACAGACCAGCAGATATGAACGTGCATTAAGAAATGCAGTAAGAAAGTGATATTAAAAGGACCAACTCCGTACAGGCAAGCAGACAAGCCCAGAACGGAATGCCTTAAATTGCACGTTAAACGTTTTCCTCCCATAGAAAATCATTAAAAATAAAGCATGTTAATGGACGAAGAAGGTGACATAAAAAGCCTGTAGACAATTTATTCTATATGGGAAAATCAGGGCTCTACGCTTACTTTTCTTTTTAGGAGCATTTGTGCTCCTAACTTAAAAAATTTAGGAGCACGTTCAAAATTTTAGGAGCACCTTCTAATCAATAATCCAAAATTTTATCAAAAAGTAGCCTTCCCATTATGAGGTGATATTTGACTCCTCCAACTTTATTAAAAGTATATAATCTTTTGTCAAATTCTTAAAAATATATATATTTTATAAGATTTTTAAAAATTGTAATTAAAACGACAGAATAAGAACAAGTA